GAACTGTATTTGGAACGGCCAAAAAATAACGGCTTCTGAATCAAAAGGCGTACTTTTGTTAATTTGGGTCGGTCCAAATTCAAATTGAGTCCGGCTCATGAAAAGTTCGGCGTCTGAACCGGGCCTGTGACACAACACTACCACCCTCTCTCCCTTTACTTGCTCCAGCAGTGCCTTTTGTCTGGCTTTGTTTCTCCTGCGGCCACAAAAACATGTTTTTTGAGAGAAATCGTTATATGAGGATTACAAGGTTCTCTCTCTGAAAATCAACTTTCTACTTTTTGTCGATTCTTTTTTCAGTGTCATTTCTAACAGAGACAAATCTTTCACCACGAAAGAAACATCCAGAGACAAAAGACGCGACAAAACAGAGGACGACGATGACTTGTTTGGTGACAACGACAATGACACGGATCAGGAACTTAAAACGATTCCATTAGAACATGTAACTGAGCCACCGCGAAAGATCCACAAGGGACTGGAAGGAAATGATGAAGTCGAAGACACGTTAGACTGGCTAAATGAACATGGGGTTAACACCCCATCCAGCCCCAGCTATGAGGAGACAGCGCTGGGAAACCAGGCTCCCGATCCTGACAAGCTGCCGAGTACAGCCAAGCCACTTTCAAGAAGCAAAAAAGGCATCAAGCCTACAGTGAGTAACCCTGTCGATTCGAGAACATCTGAAAGCCAGACAAACAATAGTCATTCTTCTCCTTTGTTAACGTTACCGAGTACAACCCAACAACTGAAACCGGAGCGAGTAAAAACTCCAAGCGAACACCGGGAGCCGTCTACAAAAGTCGACGATGAAGAATCAGCGACTGTAGAAAGCTCAACAAATCAGCCTTTGGATATTGCTACTGCACCGAGTTCAACACAACCTTTAACAACTGAACGCGACAAGAATCTTGACACTGAGTTGAACTCTACTTTTTCAAGCGTTTTGTTTACTAATGCTACCACAGGAACGCAGCAGGACCACTCTAGCCCATTTTCCACTCCATATACATCACTTAGCACCACAGGCGAACCAACACCTGTGTACACCCCAACTCCAGAACAGAATACTTGTAAACTACCAAAACTTGACCCGTGGGACTTCTCCATTAAACATTTGTTAAAAGATGTCGGCAACGATCCCGGATGTAGAAATGGATACCCAGTATCAGCATTTGACGTCATTGGTAACAGACTGGTCCTCTCCGGGGAGGGGGATGGTAGTTCCATCGATTTTAACCACGTGAAAGTGCATACGATTCATCGCGATCAAGGTGATGACAATAGCGTGCATTACGAGAATCAAGGGAACCCATTCAAATCTTCTACACAGGAATATCAACCTTCCAAAGTGATAAACGCTTCGGATTTTCTGATTCTCGACTACAAACTTAAAAGTGGAAAAGATATTACAACCTACCTTGCTCGAGCTGTTCCACAACAGGATGTCATCGAGGAGTCGAAACTGATCAGGGAAAAGCTCAATGAGCAAGGAGAAAATGAAGGGTTAGGAATAAATGTGTTATTACTTGGAATTGATTCTGTTTCTGCTGCAAACTTCCGCCGAAAGATGCCGAAAACGTTAAACTATCTTAAGACGGCGCTAAAGACCTACTTCATGTCCGGTCAAACTGTGGTTGGTGATGCCACAACACCCGCTCTCACCGCTCTGTTGACAGGCCTGTACGAGACAGAACCGCCAGAGGGCCGTCAAGGGTATTCTAATAGCGCCCCCATTGATAAATGGCCCTGGATTATGAAACTGTACAGGGAGCGTGGATACGTTACAATGATGGCTGAAGATGACCCTACCATGGGCGCATTCAACCTAAGGCTCATGGGCTTTGAGGACCCTCCTGCTCATCACTATATGAGGCCTTTTTGGCTGGCACTGGAGAATAAGCGCGAACGAGACGAACCAGGATTATGCTCGCGTTCGACATTTATGGTTAATTACACCCTAGACTATATCCTCAGCTACTTTGCAGCGTATCCAGACACCCCAAAATTTACCTACTCTTTCATGTCGTACCTGGCTCACGCCCATCCCAATCATTTAAGTTACGCTGACAACGATATTTTGCGACTGCTCCATACTTTCGTCGAACGCAATCATCACAACAACACCATGATTGTGTTGTTTGGAGATCACGGCTCGCGAAATGACGAAGTCCGAAATACCATGCAGGGGAAACTGGAGGAAAGGCTACCTTGGCTTTCTATCTCGATTCCTGATTGGCTTATAAGAAAATTCCCGCCCATAGGATCGGCTCTGCAACATAATCAAGGCATAATATCGTCACCTTTTGACATGCATGCCACGTTACGTCACATCTTAACATACCCTAAAGGGCCTGAAGGAGAGAAGACACAGAGCTTGTTCACGCCATTATCAGTTACAAGGACTTGCAGCGATGCAGGTAAGAAAGAGGTTATATTTTTAACTAGATTTTCAGAGCATTTGGCTTTTGAGATTTCTCCTGTACTGGATGCCCTTTGTCGAGTTTCCTCGCACAGTTAAGTCAGCGTGGTCACACAACTTGATGTTTTCCAGTTATAGTTTTGACTAAAGAAATTTAACACCAAGGAAAGGTTTCTTTATTGTTTTATCCCAGTCCGTTAACGCAGATTTTTTCGCCAAGAATGACGGGCTAATGATTAGCGACCATCTTGTGTTTAGCAAGACATCCCCCAACCTACAGAACGCAATTTTTTTTCCCTCAAGAGTCTTTCATCTACCCTAGAATACATTTTGCGTTTCTTTGTCTACCAAGGATCTGGTCCTTATTTATTTCCCCGTGGCGCCATGTCGTATAGTTAACAACTATTCATCGAAGTGGAGGTGGTTAGTGGTGGATATTTACCGAGCCGCGTAGCGGCGAGGTAAATATCCACCGCTAACCACCGACACTGAGGTGAATAGTTGTTTTAGTATATACTAAAACAGTGAGATAATATACACCACCATCGTTAATTTGAGTTATTTCTTCGCTTGTCACGGATGCAAACCGGGACCGGCGCCATTTTTTCCCGAGTTGCTCGGAGGTAAATAGCAAAGGATATTTGGAGTTTGACTAGCCAATCAGAGCGCGCCTTCAACGCTATCAACTGTTTTAGTATATACTAATTCAAATTATTTATGTGCGTTCGTAAGCATCTTATTTTAAAAAAATTAAGTAACAAAAATTCCCACTGCTTATTCCTAACGCTAACTTGACCCCTTCAGTAACTCTAAAGATCCGAATATGAATTCTCCCCATTAGCCGCTGAACATTTTCTTGTAACTTGGTCACGTGAATTAATGTCAGATGAAGATAACAGCCTCTACTTGATAAGTTGGGTATTCTCATTACCCGTTTTCTAGATGAAGTATGGATATTATAGGAAGAAGTTATATGACAATCACTTCAGAGAGTTAAAGGGTAAGAGACTAATTTTTTCATCGGAAGACTGACGAAGTATTTAATTATTGTTTGTTTGTTTGTTTGTTTTTTTTTGTTTGTTTTGCACAACTAGGGGTCGACGATCACTGGTGCCCATGCCTGGAGTTCACTGAGGTAGACGTAAAAAGCCCAAATGTGGTTGGAGGAGCAGAAATGGTCGTTAAATACATTAATGACGTCATCCTTAATCGAACAGAGCTACTAAGAAGGTCCTGCGCTGAGGTCCAGCTTAAAAAGATTGTAAAAGCTGTCAGATACAAACCAAATGACAAACTGCAGAGATTTAGTAGCACAAATCAAGATTCAGATGGTGCCGTGAACTTCGGCGAACCAACTTCAGACAGTAGTCACTACAGAATTAATTTTATGACCAGCCCTGGTGATGCACTATTTGAAGCATCTTTGGCCGTGAGGAATGATCACAAAGTGATTGTGAACCCGTCAATAAGTCGGACGAATGTTTATGGAAATCAGCCCAGCTGTATTTTACGTAAAGAACCCTACGCTAGAAAATTCTGCTACTGCAAGGACATGAAGCATTGATAGCTTCTCTTGATATGTTTCCCAAAGTAGTTTATTAGTGATGTTGTGCAAAAACTTTACCAAGAGAAATAGTCAGTACTACAACTTTCAGTTGAGTGGGGTCGAAGGAAGTTTGGCGACCACGTTTTGACGTCGAGCCGGGTCGTGTTGTTGTCATGGGCAACTGGCTCCGTTTCCAATAGCAACTTGTCGTTTGACCTCCTTTGGCGAACTTTCTCTTTTGACGATTGGTGAGATCCGGTTACCATTGGAAACAAGGAGGGTTGCCCGTGGCAACACCGTTATTGCACGGTTAAAACCCCGTCACAAAACTTTTTACACCCCTCACTCAACCGATAATTGTAGTATATCTAACGAATCGACGGCTATGTTCGGTCCTCGTCGGACGTATCTCAAAAAGTTAGGATCAATTATCGTTACAAACACATCAAACTCGCAACTCAGCAAGTGGCATCAAATTACGCGCAAATTGGAATGAGAAAACATTTCGCGCGAGTGGCACCTCGCGAGTTTCCTCGCCGCACGCCTCAATCAATAGAGCCTCGACTTAACAACTACACAGACATGCATTAGTACCACTGAGTGGAGGTGATTATATTATCCCATTGGATTGATCTAGATGTTATGCTAAAGAAATGAGAACAAATGCGCTTATCTTGTGAATATTCAAATTCTCCCTTCCACAGCATAGAGGCAACATTGATGATGAGATGCAGATGGGGAATTAATGGTTGATGTTCAACAAAGAATTTGAAATTATATGATGAAAAAAAAATTGAGCTGCGTTGAAATTATTTAATTATTGGACGCTGATTTAATTTGAATTAACGAAATTTTAGGTGACCAAGAACTTGAAAAACGCTATGTTAAAGATTTTTTTGTAGACTCTACACAGATTTTCTATCTTTATTGGAAGTTTTGACTTTAAAAAAATGCATGGGCAAACGTAATTGAAACTCGACTCAGCCTGATTTGGTTGAATTTTTAAGAATATGGCCAGATGCCGATTGGGTGAAAAGCAGGCGGTTTGAACCAACACAACTAAATATTGATAATATATATATTTATTATGTTATTCCTATTAAAAAAAATACATTAGGAATCTTATACTAGGTGGCTAATAAATATAGAGTAGGTTTATTCAAGTTATTATGTATTAATAGAATGTATCATTTCTATACATATGCGTCCTGCTCTGTGTCAGGAGGGGGTTGTAATCAATGACTTCACTGATCAGGCTCTTTCCAACGATCTTTTTCGTTTTAACAAGTTTTATGGTAGAAAGGCTTGCTTGGAGAATGATCTCGTATTGGTTCTTCCTTTTGATTAAGAGCTAGCATATATTAATTTGATGTTACTGTAGATATCGGTTTTTTACGACGAAGTTGTCTCAAAAATTATTTGACCCCTTCTCTTTTTATGATCTAAATTCTTAGGACGATTGTATCTTTTCGTAGGATACATCCGATCACGCTGGCAAAAATAACTAACCTAAGGGCCCCCCATGTTCTCTTTGCTTTTAGTATAATTTCAGAGCTGAGCAAACAGTTTCCAGCAATCTGATTGGTCGAGCGGTTCCTTATATGACGCTATATAAACCGCTCCACGCGGTTTATATAAAATGTTAAAATAAAAAGTTAATATTGTAGAGATTTCTCAGTTGTTCAGCTCTGAAATTATACTAAAACAATTATTCGCCTCAGGTTCGGTGAATGTTGTCGAATAATCCCCTCGACTTTTTCTCGGGGATTATTCGACGATATTCACCCCGCCTTCGGCGAATAATTGTTAAATATGAATGGCAACGCCTTCTGTTCCTTTACGTTCCTTCCTTGACCCTATAACCCGTAACAGTGACCGTATTCTAATTTCTCCTTGTCCTGTCACCCTTTGATCATAATCAAACGTCATGAGAATAAAGGAAATGATCAGCAATCTAAGAAGCTCCTTATTGTCAAACCAATTCTCCTTGTCATTACCACAGTAAATACAGAGGGATCACTGTGAAGAATATCAATACTAATATTTGGTTGCAAAGGGTCAAGGAAATAACAGCGCGAGTTCTGAATTTTGCTCTCTTTGTACATTTTCTTCAAAATGAATTAAAGGTGCCGTTAGCTCATGTCACTTTCTGTCAGTGCTGCCATGTCAAGTTATGAGCGAAATCAAAATGCACTAATTTCAAATTAGAGTTTTATTTCCTAATCTTTTATTCACGATAGTTTCTAAAATAATTACTTTTTGTTTTTTTTATTTTTCCACACGCAAATGGAATTCATACATTGAGTCTCTTTGCTCCTGATTCTTGATTAGGTTGCTGCTGAACGTGCAGACAAAACTTCGCGCCAAATCTGTGACGTATTGGCCGACTATTGGCTGAATTAGTTAATCCATATTCATCAAAATTTGTTAATTTTCAGCAAAACACGCTGTCTAGCGGAGAACGAAAACGTACTGTAGCTTACTCCCGAAGAATAATTTGCACTCCGGAACGAAAAAGGCGCTTGACGTGTAAAGAAGAGCGACGAGAGCAGTCTTTGGAACTGTAGAATATGGTGAGCAATCTTTGGCAAAATGTTGCCTTGAACTCCTTCACGGAACTGGACGAATCGTAACGTCTTAGTTAAACGAGTGAACACATAGACTGAGTGGCTCTTCAACTCAAAGCTTGCTAGCGCAACGGTCAGTGTAGGCCGCTGCAGAACTCAAACCTATGGTTGTAGTAAATTTCAGATTTTCTATTGGTCGACATTTCGAAGTTGACGCAGCCACATGGATAAAGACTTGTTTACCAAAACTTTTTACGTCAAAGCTTTCTAGACAACATATCGTCGTAAAATCAGTTTTCTAATGTTCGCGTAGATTCCAAACATAAAACAATTCTTGACCACATCTCTAATTTTCATTTTCAGAAAGAGGAAAATTGTCGGAAGGATGGAAGGACAAAGAACCAGGACAAAGATGTTAAGAGGACAATGGAATAATTGAATGTGCAGAGGACACCGCACAGATAAGACCATCGAAATTATTTATTATCAGTACTGTTAGCAAACATGGTGGCTGTCTAATATCGTATATTTGTAAGAACACTTTCTCTTCACCAAGATTTTCTTTCTCTATACTTGGAAATGGATTGAATTATTTGGAAAGTGTGAATTAGTTCCGTTTAGCCACCATTTTTGGATTAATTTGTTATGGTATGGATTGTTCTGCAGACCATGAGCGATCGAGTGATTCGTTCATTTTCTCCAATATTAGCTCCAATTTTGGTGAAAATTTTCTCAGAAATCTTACATTTACATTGCCTTCACTAAAGTAACAATTTAACATTTGACACTGAGATAAACCTGGCTACAGAAAATTAAGGAACTGGACTTGTTGAATTCGTAGGATGGATAGCTCGTTTGTTTTTAGCTCAACAGTCTGTATCATAATTATATCTCAGTTGATAACGCACAGATATGAAATCTCGTAAAGATGGCATTTGATTGTTCCCCTGAGCTCAAATCTTAACATTAAGTGAAACTTGTCTTGCCAACGAACCACTCGACTGACTGGACTATACAGGATCTTTAACATGCAACACTGATTACTTCCAAAAGCAGAGTTCATAACTTAGAACAGAATCCTGTGAACACACGTGACACAAAAATAACATCCGACTACTGACTTGAAGACATTGACACAACTGAACAGAATGACCAAACTTTAATGACAACTTGAAACTTCATCAACTCAATCTGAGGATCGCTAAGTAAGTCCTACACTGCTAATAACATCACAGGAAAACTGACCAACTTCAGTGTCCAAGAACCAGACTTGACACTTGACTCCAATAATGACTTTAGTCGGATTGACGAAAGTTAAGTCAATATAACCAACAACAGAACTTTGCCAGCAGGACCACAGTAAGACCAACCTCCCTCACGCTGACGATTTACTTTAATTTACAATGAACAGTTTCGTTGTTTTCTTTTTCTCTATTTTTCTGGTACAAAAAGCAATGAGAATTTGAGGAAATTTATTTGGACGAAAACAACGTTTATAAAAGTCATTCAAATTTCGACAAAATTGAGTTGGGGAACCAACCTCGTTTGATAAAGAGAAGGAATTCAAATATATACCAAGTACAATGCCATCTTANTAACTTGGAACAGAATCCTGTGAACACACGTGACACAAAAATAACATCCGACTACTGACTTGAAGACATTGACACAACTGAACAGAATGACCAAACTTTAATGACAACTTGAAACTTCATCAACTCAACCTGAGGATCGCTAAGTAAGTCCTACACTGTAGTGGTTTCGCTCAAGTTGGAAATGAAAGTCTCGTTCCCGGGTTGTTACACGCGCAATCGAAAACACCAAACCAATATGGATATACGATTCTTTCCTTTATTGTTCCTACGTACTCCTATTCTTGTGGCCTCAGGGCATTTATCGAATCAAAGCGGTCAACTGAAATAGTTACATTAAGAAATCACTTAAATATTTGTTTCTTTTACAGCTAAGGAATGATCATAAAACCAAGCGCACGTGATATTGAAAAGGACTTAAACAGTGAAATCTAGCGAAACCTATAACTTCAGAATTACAAACCGACATAGCTTCATAGCCTTAAAGATAATTAGATTGCTGCTTACCAACGTTCGCGGGTCTTGATTTCTATCGAGATTTTCGCTCTAACTTGTCTTCTAGTTTTCACTAACAGATCTTGATCTCGCGGGATCTTCTGAAGAACTGAAACGTGAGCTATACGCTATGCCTATCTATACTGCGGTAATCCCGGCGGTAGCGTAAATCAAACCACAAAATATTTCGCGACGTATTTCGATCCTAACGGAAGCGGTTACATACACTGCTAATAACATCACAGGAAAACTGACCAACTTCAGTGTCCAAGAACCAGACTTGACACTTGACTCCAATAATGACTTTAGTCGGATTGACGAAAGTTAAGTCAATATAACCAACAACAGAACTTTGCCAGCAGGACCACAGTAAGACCAACCTCCCTCACGCTGACGATTTACTTTAATTTACAATGAACAGTTTCGTTGTTTTCTTTTTCTCTATTTTTCTGGTACAAAAAGCAATGAGAATTTGAGGAAATTTATTTGGACGAAAACAACGTTTATAAAAGTCATTCAAATTTCGACAAAATTGAGTTGGGGAACCAACCTCGTTTGATAAAGGGAAGGAATTCAAATATATACCAAGTACAATGCCATCTTAAAACTTGTATTCACTGCTTTGTTGCATCAACTGAGGTCGGCTTCAGTTCACAGGAGGACATTGGCTTCAACTTTGTGACCAGATTTTGAAATCATTCAAGTAAGTTTACGCTGTGTTTAGATCTCGGATGTCTTATTTTGGAACAAATGCACCAATGTTCTCTTGTCGTTCTGGCTGCCATATTTTTAAAACTCGAATGGCTGGTTAGGAATGCTTCAGAAAACCCCCACGGGTTTTTATCGTTACATAAAACAGTCTAAATGAGTTAATGTCACTGATGAAGGAATACAGATTCTTAATCGCAAAAACAAAGCAATTATTGGATCGGACGAGAGCAATTTAAGACATTAAAGCTCATCTACCAGTAAACAATTGATGTACACGAATATTGCCAAAGTTTTCGTTGTCGGATCGGTACAAAAGAATACTGATGTTTGTATCTCGAGGGAATTTTAGTTTTGATTGGAATGAAGAAATTAAATTACTCTCAGTCGTGGAAAAATGGGGTCAGATTGAACGAACAAACGTGTATGCTAATCAAGCAGAGTTTATCATTGATTGTTCCAAAAAGCAACTAAGAATTTTAAAAGGTTCTCGAGAGATTTTTTTTTCTAAAACCATAATTGAAACCACTCTCTAAGGAACGTGGGTAGCAAAAGAATACGGATTTTTGACATCGCATTCGCGCCAAATTCAAAGATTCTTCTTTGCATTTATTTTTTATCAAAGTTTTCACATGTTGCTAACGATGAATCATTACAGAATTTTACTGAAGAAACTCGGTTCTTAGTTGAACATCGTAATTAGACATTTTAAAGAAAACGTACTGATTTTGCAAAACGCGCGTGTGAGCCAAGAATACCGATGAGTGAACTCTGTGCATAGTCTCGTTCTGTTTAACAGTCGAAAGGTCAAAGTTTTTCTATAAAAATTGTTTGTCTTTATGCTGTTTTATGTTCCGATATCTTCTCAATTCGACCCTTTAAATCAAATAATTAATTACTGACAAAACCAGGCATTTGGTTTTAAAATGTAACGTAGTTTGTATATCTTTAAGTGGAGGGAAGATCGTTTGTGCTGTTTTTTGGTGTAACACAGGAATACAGGATTCAAAAAACTTCATAAATTACGGAAAATTTAGGTATAACGACTTGATAATTTTTGTCTTATTGAATAAACAAATGGAGATTGAACTGACAAATCGCGTATTTTTATCAGCAAAACCAGATTTGATTAATTTGCTTCGGGAATCCAGTTGATTATTTTTGGTGACTTGATTTGATGTCGAATTGGGCCTAATTGCATGTGACATGTCTTAGCTCTTGTAGCTATAATTCAAATAGTATGCTCCAATAAATTATTTGTTTTTTCAAATTTTTGAGATTTAATTTATCATTTGTCTTGGTATTTCTTCAGCAAGAGATTTTTGTAAATCAGATAAGCTTTTGGTTCAAATTTGGTCATTTTTTAAATTGACAAGAAAAAAAAAACGGAAAAACATCGAAGTCTTTTGTGGCCAAGCCAAAGAAAAATTAAAATGCTAATTTTTTTTTTGGTTTATTTCTCCGTACAAATTGCTTCAGGAACTCATTTCAAAATCTATATAATTTTCAGTATTTCTAATCCTGTGTCCTGTGTTACATTTGAGAACAAGTTGCCTTAATGATCTTTTACCCAGAGAAAGCACCATGGAAAGATGTATACTAAAAAAACTAATTTGTAATCAAAACTTGACGGTAAAAAGACAATTGCATTTCGACGTTAAATTCCGTTTGAGCTGCTCATTCATTTACAAACCTTACATCATCTCGTGCAAGAATTTTTTTTTTCTTTTTTCAAAATTTTGTACTCTGATACAAAAAAGTTCATATTGACGGAAATATCGAGACCTTAATAATGTTTTTTGGAACGAAAAGATGAATTAGCTTCAAGGTTCTTGGATATTTTCTTGCACGAGGTGCCGTTTAAACACTTTTTTGGCGGAAAATTTCAAAGAGAGCCTCTTTTAAACTTTTGTCGAAAAAGTTGCTTGGAGAGACTCTGTGCAAACCGAACCAAATTTTCCCGCCAAAAGTCTTTTGTATATATACGAAGTTTTTTTCTTCACACTTTTTAATTTAATCGAAACTTAATTATCTAAATAAAGACTTATTGAAATAAAAAACAACTGTTGTGAATTGAATTTGATTTATTAAAGACAATAAAGAAAAATAAAGATGACAAGAAATCTGTTTATTTTATTTGAGTCTTCATTGTAGAACAAATATGCAAGAGACAGACAAACAAATAACTTTTATTTGAAGCAATGATACATATGCTGAGTAAAAAATTACGGCGCATGCGTATTTCAGGCGCCTGTATTTTTTCTAAGTCTTTTGGCGGGAAAACTCACCAAATTTGAACAAATGTTGCTTACAGAAAAACTTGGCGCATGCGTACCTGGATTTTTTCTAAGTTTTTTGGCGGGAAAATTAAGAGTTTTTGAAAAGCCCTCTAGCACAAGTTACGCTTGCAAAAAATCGAAAGTAGAATTAAAAAATCACTACATAACTTTTCCTTACGCTTGGCTTCAAGTCCTCGATTTTGGGAAAAGATGAATTGGTCTGATTCGCCGTGTTCTTGGGAGAAAACTTTTACACCTCTACTAGCACTGTCCTATAGCCTTTCTTGAAGGATTTTCACTCATCGAAGCAATAGGTATTTACAAGTCAGTCTGCAAGAAAATGAAAATAAAAGATGAATTAATATAACGATTGCAAAAGATTTTACCTACACTTTTTCTCAAGCGATAATAATGTGTGAGTCGCTCGCAGAAACACCAAAATTTGATTATTTAGTAATGTTTGAAGAACTTGAATCAGTATCTAAATCCTAAAGAGTAGTTTGTATCCGTATATTTGCTGACATATCTTATATGATTGTTTACGAATGTCACCTGCTGAAAAATTCTTGGTTGCCTTTGCTGTTGTTTAAAATGATTTCAGCTATTCACATTCCAGCAGGATACAATTTCAGTGAAGAAAAAACAAATTTAAATATTCGCTCTTAAATGTTCCTCCAAGATCACGACGGAATTAAAAAAAATAATGTATATATATATATTTTGGTGGTTGCAATTACCATACATAACCTATCATATGCAGAGTTTATGACGAAATTCTGTGTTCTTGTTCAAATTTGAAAAATCCGATACCCTCATGGGATCCAAATATTTCTGCAGGCTTTCATTTGCACCAAATAAACTTAATTCTTGGTACAGACGCGAAATTTGATGAATATTGGAACAGCAGCAAAACATGCAGTCCCTGAACGACTGCATGCTGTGGTCAAAAATGAAAAGCCGCAAGCTATTCCTCTGACAACATTTGGTTTTAAAATTAGTCTTTGGTAAGAAATGACTTAAATAAAAACTTTTCGTTAAATATGTTAACTTAGACGAAAAAAAATATAAACTTTTCGACGATGAATTCATTTCCTCTTAAAATTTTTCAATCAATTGTTGTTGTTGTCGTTGCTTTTTTACTAAAGCTGGGCAACTCGACTTGACATGTATATTCAGCGATTAAGCTCTCAGAGGTTTTATTGAGTTGAACAAGAGAGGTTTAGATGAGTTGGTAATAAGCTATTTCAATCGAATTCAAAAGGAATTTTGCAAAAACGATTAAAGGTCTAAGTCAAGAAATGAATATTGGTGAACACTTTCTGCTTGGAGTCTTGGCCACAGAAGCTATAAACAAGGTTTTCAGCGAGCGAAGTGAAAAAGAGATACCAATTTCAGAACATGCTGAGCTTAAAATAATTATTAAGCTCCAAGGTTTTTTTCTGAGTAGAGTGACAAATCGAACGAAGTAAACTGAAAACAATTTTCACGGGGATTAAAATTTGTCAGAAATCTAGAGCAGCATTTCAGAAAAAAAAAGTCGAAAACATTTACTTTTGGATAATGGAGAATTTGCTTTGAGCTTTAAGAATTAGGACATGGGCTCTAGGGTTTTTTTGCAAATTGACTAAGATAGAAAAGTTCCTATTTTGTTATGACATATCTGAGACTTGATAGAGATCTATATCTGAAAAAGACTTTTTTCTTGCAGCATAATAAATATGGTGTATTCCTCAAGAACCAAGAAAATTTCATTTTGAAAAAAGGATCATTAAGAGGTCCCTAGAAAAACTCCATGGCAAAATAAATAAACAACACTAAATTGCCACAGAATATGGCATTTTGTTTAAACCTCACGAGCTGAATCATGATTATAAATATCACTATTTCAATTATATAAGTGCATTAAACTTGGTCAAGATCGAAAATAGTCCTGTAAAATTGTGAGAAATAATACTTTTTGCAGGATATAGATATAGATTTCAGCCTAAAAAGTGTATTTCATATAGCAACTGGGCTCCAAGGTTTCTTTTCAATGAAACATGTGCTAAAAAAATCCTAAATTTTTAATGAAAACTATCAGAATATAAAACATATCAGAGCTCTTAACAAAACTTCAAGAAACAACTGAAATATCAACTTCTGACGCATTTCGACTTTGATTTCAATCTCAATAGCTAAGCCTTTCTATAAATGAGCTCAAAGGTTTTTGAATGGATCACCTAAAAAATGGTTTAATTTGGAAAAACGACTTCGGATTACTAAAACCAATCAGTGACGGATTTAAATATGAATTCTGGAAATAATTTGGGAAATATCAAGGCTTAGAAAATTCCCTTTGAGTTTAGTTTGAGTCGTAAGAAATAAGTAATTAACCCTTTCAATACCAAGTTCTGATCAGTACGTTAGTAGATCTCCTTACTTGTGAGTCAAACAATTCTTATGATGTTGTTCCGAGATCTTGGAATTGGATCAACTAATAATTTATTCCCCCAAGACGGTTAGAGAAGTTTTCAACTGAGTTTCGAAATACCAAAACTAAAGCTACCGCGGCGACCAAAGGCTAACAACATCGTCAGCTAATGAGGACTCAAAGAAAAAAACAAGCAACTGCGCGGAGCGCGGAAAAACGCCAATGACAGAGATGAGATTGTTTTAAGTCTTGCATCTGATTGGTCGAGAGGGTGAGGCGAGTTTTCTTGATCAATCACAGAGCGAAGCAAAGTTTTACTTTCAACACTCTAATGAAAATTTCTCTAAAGGGTTAAACAATTAGCCACAGGGTCCAAGGTGAATCACTGAAACGGGTAAAAAAGTCCTATGTCAGTTAATGAAAAACTCTGGAAGCAATTTAGAAGTCAACGTCTTTCTTTAGGGCATGCTATATCAATTTGTTTATGGTCTTTAGAACTATAACACTTGACATTTTAGTAGGTCCAGCACAAAAAAGGCGTCTTTTGGAAAACAACTGGTCGAACATCAAAATAATAACTAACTTACGGAATGAAGTCTAGAATAAATTTTTCAGATATTAATATATGGAGTATACTCGGAGATTGGTTTCAGCTTCAAGAGCTAGGACATTCATTTTAAGGTTTTTACAGAATAATTAACAAAAATTCAGACCATTAAACATATCAGAGATCTCAAAAAAAAAACTATCGATGATATAGAAGTATTTATGATTGGAGCAGTATGAATTTGTTTATTGCCTCGATAGCTTAGAAGTTTTATATTTGGGCTGCACGATTCCTGAGAAAAATATAAATCACTCCTAATTTAGTTATTTGAGTTATCATCCAATCGAAAAGAGAAGTCGCGAACAGCTCAGGAAATATTTGTATTTGGAGCATACACTTCGAGTTTGATTTTGGCCTTGAGAACTAAAATATTGATTCCAAGGTTTTTTATTGAATGAGGTAAAAAGTTTTGATTTCCAACAAATGAAAACATCAGACCATTAAACGTATCAGAGACCTACAAAACTCCAAAAAATTGAGAAATATTCATATCTATGGCATGATGAGTTTGTTACAGCCTAAAGAGCCATGAAATTTAACATAGAGGCCACAAGGTTCTTTTTGAATTGAGGAAATTAGTTCTAATTAATTCAGAAAATGTGATGAGAGTTTTTGAACCATACCGTTCGAGTGTGGTCTTAGCATCAACAGCTGCAACGTTCTTTCCGTGGTTTTTTTAGAAGGTTCTATTGGTCAAGGAAAAAATAGTTTAGACCACATAACTTTAAAAAAATAAAGAAATTTGTGTTTGGAACATATTGAATTTGGTTTTTTGCCTCAAGTAGCTAAAAAAATTGCCATCAGCCTTCAAAATGATACTTAATGAATTGAGTAAACAAGAATTCATAGACATGTAAAAACGAACGATATAATATCCCGACGTTTCGGCGACTTCATGACGCCATTATCAAGGGTACGAATGAAAA